AAAGATAATTTACCCATAACAATATGTCATTTTTTTGAATTGAATATGGTTTAACTATAAGAACATTTATGATTTAGTTAATTCAACCTTTTTAACTACAGATTGCTTCAACTGATTGCACCATTTCTTGGAAAAAAATTTGGTTTTGTCAAGCAACCATTTAGTTTCAATCAAGACATACAGTTTCCTAAATTGGACTTTTTTTAAGAATATTGAGTAAATTAAATAGAAATCAAATTAAATTATCTTCATCTTCACAGTGACAATATAAATTACAGGAAGGAGTTCAAAATTATTACTATTTTTTAGATATTTTGAAGTTTAAGCAGTTTTTGTTAAATAGTTTTACATGCGGATTTTGAATTATATGGTTTTACTTCATTATCAATATTTAGCCTTCTACTTCAATTTTAATAAAAGTAATTATTTTGACAAATCAGTTTTTAAGTTAGATGAGATCATTAATATTTTTAAGTATAAGCAAAGTAGAACCCATAATAAATTTCTTATCTTATTAATAAAATATGTAATCATTAAGTATATTTATAAATAGCACAAAAAATTAGGCATTATGCATCATGTATTATTAACAATATTAATAACAAATTTGTTTCAGTTTCTATAAAAAATGCAAAATAACTTTGTAAAGGTGATTGTGGGTTGCTGCAAGAACTTTCCAAGTAGAACCTTTATGTTAGCGTATTCTTCAGTAAACATAAGATAGTAAACATAAGTATTTTTGTATTTTTATTAACAATCATGATTTTAAATAGAGTTGATCTTTGCATAACAACAGCATACTTGTATCTCTAAAATAAATTATTTTATTCTTTAATTGTTTGTAGCATTTGAACAGATTTTGCTATTTTTCAAAGTATTCATGGACATCTGATCCACAAGTAAAAAAAGTCACCTTGAATTTTAAATAAACTAAAATTAAATTTCTCCTGGACCCCTAATGTACAGCTTGTTGTTCTATTTTAGTTAACCAGCTTTGTCTAAGCTGAATCTACGGCTGGTTCCAACTGTATTCTATACTTTTAATTTTTCTAATAATAGAACCATTTTCAAAAATAGTTTTCAATTATTTGAATCTTCATTTCTCAAATGATTTGAATGTTTAAAAATATTACTACATAAAACTGTTGAAACTGACAGATTTTTTTAAAATCAATTGCCATTAAAATGAGTACAACACTGGCCCTCAAATTCAATATTTAAAAATGTTTTATTAACTCCAATAACTTGATCAAAAATGTAATACTCATCAGTTAAACCACCATTGTTTCTTTCTTCAAACGCATAATACTTTCCTCATTAATGTTGAAGAACTTTAGCTAATCTTTACAGAACTATATTTGCAAAAATAATAATACAATCGTCAAGTTCTTTGATGCGTATTCACGAACTTCTTCTGCGACTACTGAGCCATAATATTCTATAATGAGATTTTCTTTTTGATGTTTCTTGAACACAGACTCTTTAAATTCAAAAAATTGTTCATTTATGATGTCATTAGATAATCTTGCTAAAGAGTATTCGCAATTTAAAGAAATAGTAAAATGACTTCAATTCTAAATGCTGCTACCACAACTAAAGTAACTATAATCCTTCTGGTATAGTTCTTTTGAGGTGTATTTTGAGGCTTCCAGTGACATTTCAAATGTTATTTTTATTGCATCAGCAACATTTGTTGTAATTTCTGAAGCAATTACTATGTCAGCAAAAAAAAAAAATATTCTCAATTAATGTGAACCAGAAGGTGCAAAGGTCCCAACATGCTTTTGAATGGTTGCAAATGGTTGAAGGTTGCAAATGGTTGAAGGTTGCAAATGGTTGAAGGTTGCAAATGGTTGAAGGTGTAAAGGTCCCAACATGCTTTGAATGGTTTTGAATTGCTGCTACTTTTGCAAAAATTCTGCAAAGTATGCAAAATTCTGTTGTTAATCAAACCAAGAAAATACATGTGCATCTGTTTTGGTTTTCACACATGGCACTGCATGTTAGAAGTGTGATAGAATCGATATATGTTTTCTTAATAGCTTTGTTACCATTTTTATCATATTTAGATATACACCCATTTTTCATCTGGAAGTTTTCATTTTGCTTTAAAATTTCGAAACCAATTACTTTCATGCAAATTGCATTTCTCTCATCAAAAAATCTTTTCGATCCAACTCTGCACACTCACAGTAGATATCATTTAAGATTTAATTTCTTTAAAATCATTTAATATTAATTTCTTTAAAATAATTAACAATGAAGGTAATTTCAATACAAAGTTGATAATTGCTTCATTTTTGCAAATTGTAAATAACCTTTAAACTTTTAATTTTTCAATTATTTATATTCACAATACATTAGTATTTTTGTTTAAACAAATACTCACTTAACATTATTCCATCAATCACAAATAAGTCCTACAGAATCTGCTGTTGCAATAAATTTTTCAGAATTGCTTTATACTCTAAAGAATTCTTTATCCAAAAGTATTTTAGACACTTTATACCTTGAAAGGAACTGATAAGCTAGACATAATTTATTTAAACAGGTTTTTCAGTATAATCAACTAAACTTATGGCATAAATAGCTCTGGATAGATGTGCATCAATTGAATACTATAACATTATTGATCTCAGTTAAGCAATTAAAAACAAATATACTGTGGAAAAAAAATATGTTGACATCTTTTCACATTGTTTCATGCTATCAAACATTGAACAAGATTTACTACTTTTAGAAATTGGTTTTGAATGTTTTAAAGCGTTTGAAACAATGTTTGTGACTTTTACGATACTTACTTAAATTAAATTTTTTTTTAAATTTCAAATTTGTATTTGCTTTACTTTGTGTTGTTTCTGTCATTATTTTTATTGGCAAAAAAAGAAGAACTAAAAAAAAGACTCACATCTCTATCCCATTTACTCCACCATTAAACCCTAAAACAGTAGATGATACTTCTATTTCAAAAACATTTCGGCTCACATAAATATCCTTAAAACATTTTATTAATCATATAATTAATTGCTTTATTATTGATTTTTATCATGGAAACACTTAGACAATACTTTTATACAGGTTTTTAAGGAATTTCCTGACTTAATTAAAAAATATAAGCAATTTCCCTGACTTTTTCTTTAAAAACCAACCTTCTTTCTCTGTAGCATTAAAAAAAAAAAAAAAAAACTACACTTTACCCCTGACTATATAGTAATAATTATAATAACATATATATAATAAAAAGGCATATGTGACTGACCATATATGTTCTTTAATTAAAGCTATTTATTTACACTTCGTAACAACTAATTATAAAAAAGTATTCTCAACATTTCACATACCCAACTTAATATTAAGTATCTTTTTCTATATCATAAAGATCAAAGAAGGAAAGTCAGAAAATTTCTATAACTTTTTTATTTTGAAACCATTGATTAAGTAAAAAAAAAAAATTGATACAATAAATCAATATAAAAAGAGAAATTAGCTTCATATTATTTCTTTATTTCTCTTTTAAAATTTGGACTGTCTTTTCTAAAGTTTTAATTTCAAAACACTTTTGTTCACACTTCCTTTTCAAACGGTTACATTTAATTACTAATCACCTATATATTTTTTTCTACCTTTTTTATGATATTATTAAACTCAATAGCTAAGTTGTTGCAAGAATCTAAAAAGAATTTTTTTTATTTACTGCATCACA